TTACACTAACAATTTTGTTTGTGAAATAACTTGAAGCAGTGAACTTATATTAAGATTCGTTGATGCCTTAATTGATATCATTTTGAATATTGATTTTTTAAATTTTGCATTTTGAACCTTCTCAAACCACTTACTTTCAAATGTTGTCTGTCGTACTATATCACACTACTAGGTTCTTTGTTTTTCAACTGATGGGACTGAACTTCATTTGGGAGATGGATATCTTTATTCTGACTGGTTAGTGAAAACCCAATTTGCTCAATTTCATTAGTTAGATCCTTTCATATTAAATGCAGATGAAAAATAAAAATATATAAAATATTAATGAGCGTGAGATTTATGAAATCTGTAACCGACTAATTGCTTAAACGTAACAAGCCCCACTTATGGAAACTTCATGATTTTTTAAAATTTAGTTATTTAATGAAATTTATAACTGTATAAACAACACAACTAGTAAAAATGCTCACATTTGAAATAATGACATGAACAGACTTAAAGAGATACTGCGCAGTGGTAGCACTTCCTATTTAATTGTAGATGAAAAGATGACTTATTTTCAGACGTTTAGGGGGATTATCAGAAATCGAGGAAGAAGCAAGTGGAAATAAGTGGATTCGGGTGGGACTGGAGTTTATCGTGAAAGGATAGGTATCTGGCATGGTAGTATGAATGGTTTTATTTGTGACAAAATATGGGGCATTAAGGATTTTACGAAGGATTTTGGATTGTAAGGATTGGATACGATAGGAATTTTATGGTTGGGTAGATGATCTCCGTATGTCCATATAGGTCTTATTATGGTTAAGTAGATGAGTCTTTTGTAATTAATTGAAAGTTTAGAGCGTTGTTTGTTTAGTAAGCGTTAGAGCAGTCGGAAACGTCGAGCAGTTTCTTTTCGTTTCAGTCTAGTATGCGGATTCCAAGTGAGACGTTTATTTTTATTCTCCAGTTATGACACCATTCTTCAAGGTTTGTGATTGGAGAGTTTGAGATGCAATTAAAGGGTCATTATTAACAGATAAGATACAAGTGTCATCTGCATAGGTGGTGATGACCGTGTTTTCCTGATTTAAACATAAATTTCATTTTGTTAATGTTCGATTTTCACAAAAAGAGGAGAATAGTTATGAGAGAAATCTATTCGAGGCTATGCATATTGTTAATTATAGGGCTGGCAATAGAAATTTAAATGAATTTTATTCTGGACATCTTAGATAAGTCTAATAAAGGTAGTTGTTTTTTTTTTACTTTGTCTGCGTGATCAGCTGGTTTTGATGGTAACTTTCCTTTGATGTGCATTTTCATTTATTGAGGGGGATATTAATAATTTTTTGAGTTTTAATTACTTGATTACATCTGGAGTTTTTCTATTCAGCTGTTTGATTACAATCTTCTTTCCAGTATGCGATCGGATGTCATGGAATGATGTGATCTTAGGTTTGTTGGATTTTCTGTCCTAAAAATACCTGAATTAGTGAATCGTTGACGGGCTCTTTTCTTGTATGTTATACATATGGTGTGTGGTTGGACACTGATGCTTTGTCTGCTGATGAGTTTCTACTCGTTTACTGGAAAATGTTTATCCATGTTTTATTATTTCTAACAATTATGAAAATAGTTATTATTTCAAAACAAACAGCATTAAACGTAAGAAATCTAAGTTTCAGTAATTTTTTTCACCTTTCAGTTGAAGTCAATTTTATCCTCCAATAGCTGCCTCATATAATATCAATACCTACCTATAAGATATATTATGTTTTTTCAATATGTTTAGTTTAAGTATTAACTTAATTTCTCTAGCAAGGAGTAACGTCAATAATGTAGAGCATATTATATTCGTCTTATCTCTTCAGAATCGGGGACCCTCGGTAGATCTCGGTCATGATCGCTCTTGTCCTCAATAGTACTCCCCCAGTGTTACCAGCCCTTACTGAATGTTTTAGTTGACTATTGATAAATTCATCCAAAAAAGTATATTTTGAATTAAAAACAAACAAAAGAAAAATTGTTGGACAACTTCAGATTCGTGTCCTACCAAGTAAACTGAAAACGACCACACCAGAATTTTTCTCTTCGAACTACGGACTATTGATCAGAAATCAAATTATTGATTGGACGTTTAGTAATACGGAATTACTTGAAATATCAATCTGAAATGCATAAATAAAATGTATCGCCTTTTTTAAAATATGTCGCTAACAACTGTCGGCCTGCAAGAGATCGAAACGACTACAGCACGTAATAGAAAGTCGAGTGTAGAGCTGCTTTCATTCTAACAGCTTCGATTTATTTAATGAAGGAATGTCTATGGATCATCGGCCGTATCAGGCTTTCTCTACTTCATTTTACAGGTGCAAGAAAACTAATATATAAAGAAGGGAGCTAGCGAACCATCCTTGTAATACATTAGGGCAATGATCCGCTGTCACTGATGAACTAGCTTGTACACTTAGCTCATGGCAGTCAGTATAAAAATTATTTAATGGATAAATCGAAACATAGGAATGTTGCTGTTCACGTTCTCATTCACTTTAAACATGCGGGTCTAGCCAAGGGTTTTTCATCAATGGCATCTTCACCCTACCCTTAAGTGGTAAACGGTGGGTTTACCTCCCCCTACAGTACACTCTTCCACAGCCCTATTATTTGTACCTATTTATTAAAAAAACAAAAAAAAACAATGGTCCCACAATCAAAAGTGAATGCATTGTTCCAAAATTGCGTCCAACATGGCGGATTGACAACTTTACCTTGAATTAGTTTTGCGGTCACTGAGATTCAGCATTCGGTTTAATTTCGTCATAATTGCCATTTTATTAAAGCTGAATAGTTACAGAATAATAAAACATGAAAATTTTTATAATATAATTGGTTTAGGCAATAAAAAACACTTGTAAAGTCAATTTATTCAATCCGTTCAAACTATAAGAAAAATCGCCTGTACCGTTTCGAGATATAAGCCAAAATCCAAAAATTGTGTGTGACCTTTTCTCTCTTAGTTGGTGCCAAGAAAACAAAGTCATTAAAATCTCATTACCTCATGAGGTAAACAGATATACTTGAGATTTCCCCGATCTCTTCAGAGAAATTGCGAGAACTTTCGGAGGAACTGCTCGTTAAGAACCCGACTATTCCAGAAACACTAATCACTTGTTCTCAATATTACTACTTTCTGGAGTTTGTTCTTCAGTCGAGTAAACTTAATTATATTACTTTTATTACTTATTTTATTTTTTGCCTGTATAACATGTAGGTCATCATAAATGCTATCACAGGCGGATTTACGGGGGGGGGGAGGGCTTTCGGACTGAAGCCGCCCCCAATATGGTAAAATATAACCATGTTTAATAGAAAAAAATATTAAAAACTATTTCTTAAATTAATATTGTTCGTGTGATTGATTAAATTTAATAGGATTTCAAGAATAACTAAGGCACCATGCCATATGGGTAGCTAGTTTCTTTCTTTATATTTTTAAAATTAATTATCGCTATATATATGTAAAAAAATCCTTCGGGCTGAAGCCCCCCCCCAAAATTAAATCCTGGATCCTCTTGTGAATGCTATACAGATACGTTTCAAATTCATACCTCTTGAGATCCTGATAAGTCTCGTATGTCATTTAAAACCTTATTGCCCTTTTTAAAAAAATGATCATATTTACAGAAATTGAAATTTAAGATCAAAATTAAATAAAAGGCACATTATTTGTTTACATTTATCATTTAATTTGATACTTTCTTCTTGCTCTTTTAGTTGAGCCTCTAAGAAACAGTTAATATTTTTTTGTGTTAATCTTCTGAATTCAAAAATTTCCAATTCAAAAATAATATGTTTGTAGACCCTATTAAAAAAATATTAGTGCATATTTATAATTTCATTTGGCAGCCTTGTAATTTTTTGACATAAAACTTGTTTTTTAAAAGTATTTTTTATAATTTTATAAAAGAGATTCCAAATTTTGTTTTAGTCCAGTGTTAAAGAAGTTTTAAAGAAAATATAATTGAAGAGAAAAGCGAAACTTAAGAAATTTAATTGGTCAAAAATTGGTCTGATTAAATTCTGTTGAACTTAAAATTTTAATCTTTGGAAGTTTTCATTGGTTTATCTTGAAAACCTCCCTAGTTATTAATTCTGTAGTAAACTTAAAGTCATTTTACCAATTAGTAAATTGGTATTATTTTCACTCCTATTTTGTTAATTTAATTCCAAAACTGATATTTTATGTGATATATGGTACAAAGATAGGTAGTTGGTTACCTGTAGTTTGCCTTTCAAAAGAAGAAGAAAGATAAAAACTTCTTAAACACTTTTTAAATATATGTTCAATGCTCCTTACATTGTTACAAATAAAATCATTCACAATGACCTCAATGTTCCTTATGTTTCAGACTTGGCCCAATATAGATATCTATATCCTTCCATAATAAACTTCATAACCATCCCAACCCTCTTGTTTCTAATCTTGCTTCCTATTCGATTCCTGATAATCCTACCAGGCATCTGAAAAGAAGATGGCCACATGATCTTCTAATATAGTCTTATTATTAGAGTGCTACCAATGGGTAGTTTCTCAACATGTGTTTCATGTCATTATATCCACATACGAATTTACTAGATTTTTTTTTATACAGTTAAAAATCTATGTTTCAATCTTTCAGAATATGAATATTTTGACAAGGTTTATATAGATATTTCATTTATTTTTCATTTGTATATCCTTGTAAAGTTAATATTATAAAGAAGAAGTTATTTTGTATTGCTGAATTTTCTCATTTTTTTTTTAGTTAGGATAAAATAATATTTAGTGAGGTTGCTGTTATTATAACATTTACATGTCACTACAATATTAATCAAGTTAAATAAGTTGTCTAATTTTATTACTACTTATTAAAATAAGTTTTATGATACTCACTGATCTGTTTTATTGTTTTGAAAAAATAATTTTATATTCTGAACTTCTTTCTAATTTTTCTTTTCTACAATATTTTTTGCAGAAGGTCGATCCCGAGCTGATCTTCACGAAACAAGAGAAGATTGGAAAGGGATCATTCGGTGAAGTATTCAAAGGAGTAGATAATAGGACTCAAGAGGTTGTTGCCATCAAGATCATAGACCTAGATGAGGCCGAAGATGAGATCGAAGACATCCAACAAGAGATCATGGTTCTCTCTCAATGCGATTCTCCTCATGTCACCAAGTACTTCGGTTCCTATCTTAAGGTTATTTGAACAATATAATATATCTATATCTATATATGGTGAGTGTAGTGTGTGCATGCATACCTATGTTTCAATAAATAATAAGTAAATAAGTAGAAAATCTGATAAGAATGAAAAGCTAAAAATTAAAGTAAAAACTTACCTACTCTACTCTATTGCAAATGAGCTTGCGTTTTTTTTTTTTTTTTTTTTTTTTTTTTTTTTTTTTTTTTTTTTTTTTTTTTTTTTTTTTTTTTTTTTTTTTTTTTTTTTTTGGAAATGTTCAATGAATTATTTTTCAATAATTACTGTTAATAATTTATTTGTGACCAAAAATTTAAATGGTCAGCTTATTATTAATGTAAGATTAATGTTCAGATGAGTGTTATAAATTTTAGTATGTTATACAAAATTGAGTAAAGCCAATCATGGATAGTATTTGAATGGAACCATGTGAAAATCATGTAATGAAGTCCTAAGGATTTTATTTTTCCCCCTTGTTAGTGAGGGCCAAAACCTTATCAGAGGCAATTCACTCTAACTGAACTTAAAAATGACAGCCTTTTTTCTGATCAAGTATCACAATGTATAATTGATTTTTAACTCTGAAAATACAGGCATGAGTTTTAAACTCTTGTATTAAAATAAGATCTACACAAAGTTTTTTTTTCTTTTCTTTTCTTATATGCGTTTTTCTCAGAGCAAGGGATTGATGCCAGAGTGAAAAAGGCCCCTCTGGCCCTGGAATTTAAATTCATAATCTTGGGTTTATCAAGTTGCCTTGCAATATGTTGCCCACACGTCAGCCTGCTCAACTACTCCGCCACCTTTACCCAGAGAATCAAAACATCAGAAATGTTAAATGTTGTAATTGGTTACAGGGCTCTAAGCTATGGATCATCATGGAGTACTTGGGTGGAGGATCCGCCCTAGATTTAATGAAAGCTGGTAACTTCGAAGAGATGCATATTGCAGTCATTCTCAGGGAAGTTTTGAAAGGTCTTGATTACCTCCATTCTGAACGAAAACTACATCGAGATATTAAGGGTATTTATAATTTTTCTATTGTATGTTTTTGTTCTAAAAACATTTTTTTAATGTTTAATTTAATTACCATAATATTTGTCATTGTACCCCAAAGCTATTAATTTTATTTCGTTTTTAGAATGGATTATTGTATATATTTGTTAGAAAAAGGAATTGTTTTTAAGATAAATTTTTAATGACAAAATTCATAATTAATTAAAAAACCGGAGCTTTATTGATAGTCACGCTCTGAATAAAATTACTGTAAGTTGATTTTGAACAATTTTAGCACAGAGTTTGTCTTTTACATCATCATGGGATTCAAATGATTTTTCAAGATAGTGAGCAAATAATTGCCCTTTTTGAGCACCTGACTTAGCGCAATAACCATCAGAATGAGGATGAGAAACACCACGATGCTGGACAATCCGTTTTGTGATGCTCCAAGTGATTTCTCACCAGTTGCTAAAACATGCAAGTAGTTAAACTTTTCTGCCTACTGGAACACATTAATGCTCTACTGGCTACTTTTTCTGATGGTATTGCAATCGATATTGCGATATTGCTGATTGAGCCGCAAGTACGAAAATTAAAATGAATGAAAAAAGTTTGTGTATGTAGTTTTCACTCTTAATCATACACTTACCCCCGAAATATATTCCAATAATATTGAAATTCCAGCTTTATATGAAAAATACTTGAGTTTTATCTAGGCATAATACTAATATGCAGAATTCACATTAGACAAAAAGGAATGGAATGGAATTATGGAGGATGATACCATATAGTATGATATAGAACAATGAACCATTTATCTAGTTGGGATATAATTATTCTAAACACTTTATTGAGTTTGAATATTAGGTGAACAGTCAAGACATTTACATATTTGCATAATAATTACACAAGTTGACAACTAATCATTGTGATTTGATTTTATGTTTATCTGTTTGATATGTCCATGCAATAAAGGCAAATTTACTGATGAAAAGAAGTGGTGGAAATGTTTTTGGTAAGAAATACAATTGAATCTCTATTAAACATAAAGGTTCAGGGGGAGGGGGAATTTATATATGAAATTAAATACAATTTTTCATACTTGTTGTCAATGGTGGATTGTGGCTAAAATTAGTGAGGATGCTTCTCTAGAGAATTGTTAAGACTTTGTTTGTGCTTTTTTAAGATTATTTGATGAAATAGATTTTTGAAAAACTTTTTTTTTACTCCAACTTTTTCATGGAGAGACTAATTTGAAAACTTTAACTGGTTAAGTTCAGTTACAATCACAGAACTTATTTCTTGAGATGCAAGGTTATGTTTAAACCTTTATATAATACAAATAAAATAAAAAATGTGAATGCATTTAATAGAATAACTTGAATCAGTATAATAATTAAACTATACATGTTTTTAATTTTAAAAAAAACATTCCATTAGGTAGAAAAAATTTATGTTTTTCTACCTAATGGAGTCAATAGAACCAAACACTTATCTGATGAAAGTTGAATTTTTCTCTAATAAATTTTACCACAATGTTTTTTAAGATACTGTGAATTTCTTTTTCCTTTCCATTTAAATTATTTTTATCATTTTAAAATATTTGTATAGAATGAAGGAAGGAGATAGTCTAGGGTGGCGGTCATAAATAGGCTAAATAGTGGCAAAACTATTTTATTAAAAGCCAACGTTTTGACCCGATTTTGCAGGACTTCTTTATGGAGGTGTGTTCAGCTAGGAGTTTCACTTAGAACTCAAGTTCTGCTGAACACACCTCCCTGAAGAAGACCTGCAAAGTCGGGTCGAAATGTTGGCTTTTAATAAAATAGTTTTGCCACTATTTAGCCTGTTTATGACCGCCACCCTAGACCATCTCCTTCCTTTATAATGCAACGGTCAACTATTAAATATTCAATTTGTATAGGATGTTTTAATTATTTACATATAATCACAGAAATTTATTATGAGATTTAGTTTAAAATATTATATTGTTTAGCATAATGTGTAATACTTGTAACTGTTTTCAGCTGCCAATGTGCTACTGAGTGAGATGGGAGATGTGAAACTCGCTGATTTTGGTGTCGCTGGCCAATTGACGAATACTACTAGCAAACGAAATACATTTGTCGGAACTCCCTTTTGGATGGCCCCTGAAGTTATTAAGCAATCTGCATATGATTCGAAGGTTTGTGTAATAAAAATAAAACAAATTAATATCCATGTTTTAAAAGTTATTGTTTGTGTATAGAAGATTTTGTATCTGTATTTCTTTTTGTAGGCTGACATTTGGTCTTTGGGTATAACTGCAATTGAACTTGCCAAAGGCGAACCTCCCAACTCAGAACTTCATCCAATGAGAGTGCTATTTCTTATTCCAAAGAACAATCCACCTCAGTTAACAGGAAATTACACCAAGCAGTTTAAGGAGTTTGTAGAGTCCTGTCTGAATAAAGATCCAGAAAATGTATGAATACTATTATTATTAAAAGTGAAGTTTTATAGACTGTGTAGTTATGGTAGTTCAACATTATTGTGATTGTCGATTATACAAAATAAGAAAGATAAAACTAATTAAATTAAATTATTAAGTATATTATTAAATAGTCTTCATCATCCGATGACGCTATGATCCTTGCCTTCTCTACTATCTTTCTTCAACCACACCTCTCCATCTGACTACACCCAGACTCCTAAGATCATTTTCAACATCTTCTAGCCAACAAAGTCTAGGGCTGCCTCTTTTCTTCTTCTACCCAGGTTCCATCATCATTTTAGGGAGCCTTGCTATGTTCCATTCTTTGCAAGTGATTCATTCTTTGATTATCCTGCCCTCTTTGTCGTAGATATAATATCTGGGGCATTAAATAACTTCTTCAGCTCTTCATTCATTAAAGGTTTCCTTCTTTGGTTGGGCCATAGATTTTACGAATGATTTTTCTTTCCCACCTGTTCAGTAGCTTCACTTCGTCGAGTTTGATTGTCCAGAACTTGCTTGCATGAATAAAAACTAGTTGCAGGATTGTCTTGTTCTCACTCTTATTTTGAGAGCTCTTGGTATATCTCAATTTTGAAAGATTTTCGTTAGGGACCAATAGCACCTGTTTGTTACCAACTGTTATTCTTGCCTTTATTTCTTTGTTTATATTATTATCCTCCCTGATAATAGAACCATAATACTTAAATAGTGATACTCTTTCGAAACAAAATCCAACCCCATCGGTATATATGTTGTGTTTCATCTCCCTTGTTGTTAACATATATTTTGGTTTTTCTTCATTTATAATAAGTCTTACTTTTCTTGCAGCTTCTTCACACTCCTCAAAGGCTCCCAAGAGTGCATTGGATGTTTTTCCTCTAATCACCTCATCAAATCATAGCAAAGGCTAGGTGTTGAGTCATTCTATGATATATGAATCCTCCTGATCTTGTGTGGACCGATCTCATGATTACTTCTAATACCATATTGAACAGTGCTGGAGAAAGAGGATCTCTCTGTTTTACACCCTTCTGAATGTCCATTCTTTCGAAAACTCACCTTGTATTTTTACTACTTTTGCTGTGTCTTGAAAGTCATCTCACCAAACTTGATAAGCTTCTGCGCCCATCCGAAATCTTCTAATTTTTGATACATTACATTTTTCTCTATACTATTGTAGGCTTGTTTATAGTCAATAAAAAGATGGTATTTATCATCATTCCATTTATAGCATTTTTTGAGCATAACTCTCATGGAGAAGATGTGGTCTATTGTAGATCTTCCATAGCGGAACCACATTGGTAGTCGCTTCACACCTCTCCGCCTCTCTCCACAATCCGCTTCATGAGCAATGTTAATAAAACCTTGTAGAAATGTCTCTATAGTTTTGGAAATCCAGTCTGTCCCCTTTTTTATGTATTGGTATAATAACAGATATCTTCCTTTTTTTGAATGGTCATTTCCTCTTTCATCCAAATCTCCGATATTAGTTCAAATATTTTCTTGTGCAGTGCCTCTGCTCCTAATTTGAGTATTATGATTAATTAATAGTGTATCTAAATCTTATCTTGTATTTGTGTTTCTTTTTTGTTTTCTAAATATTTATGTTTTGATGATTATTTCTTACAGAGACCTACTGCTAAGGAACTTTTGAAGTTTCCATTCATCAGGAAAGCTAAGAAGAACTCTTACTTAATTGATCTGATCGATAGGTATAAGAAATGGAAAGCTCAACGGAATGATGAAAGTGAAACTGAATCAGATAATTCCGATCAGTGAGTACCATGCTATCATTTGAAAATTATTAGTTAGTTGAATACTCATTTTTAATCTAACATTTATAACTTGAGTTGTCTGCAAAGCTGCAATATAATAATTGTAAATCCCTCCTAAATAAAAATGTAATATTATTATAGTAAATTTTCAATAATTTTTTTACTATTCACACAAGATAATTACAATAAAATTTATTAAAAATAAAAAGGACACTTTCCTCTGATGCAAGAATAGGGGTGGCCCATTGGGTAAGTAAGGTCTTGAACTCCCAGCTTTGCTTCAAATGTCTGTTATAAATAGAAATTTCTTTTATTTTGTATCAGCCATAAATGAATCGGGATGGTTACACCCTCTTAGAGTTCATCCATTTTTCCAAAAGTGAAAAAATGTTATTTTCTATGATCAAAGGAAATACAGCTTTAGTGACCACAAGGAAATACAGCTGAGGTGACCACATAGTTACTACAAGTTTTGGTTAAGAATTAGTACCCGACCCAAGGACTTAGTGTTATGTTTTGTACAAGGTTTTTTTTTTTCTTCACTACTGAAGTTAAGGATGCTTTACATTAGTGTGGAAAGTTCCAAAAAACTGTGTGCTAAGGATGGAAAATTTTCATTCCCATTTAACACTTAAGACATCAGGAACAAATTTCGTTCGGTATCTGCCTGTTGTCAATTCTTTGTGAAGGGCATATCGTCTATAACCGTTTATTAAATTTTCCTGAAATTTCCAGAGATTGATCATATCAGTTTCATTTAATTCCTTTCACTACTTTTCTATACACATTTATAAATGATATTTAAAACTGCTCATTCAATTTGCCCCAAAATTGGAAGAAAGTTGGGGATTAATGAAAAAAATTATTTATTAATTCCTTTTATTATTACTTTTTTTTACATATGCACAAATGTTTATTCCTTGATATGCCTATCTCTCTAAAACTGCACTTCAAATTAAAGTACTGGAGAGAAGTTAAAGATTTGTGAAAAATTATTATGTAGGTATCAATATTGTGAAATTCCATTCACTACTTTCTGTTACAGATTTGCAAATTTATTTTCCTCGATATGCCTTTAATTAAAAAAAAAAGCTCATTCAATTTCACCCAAAGTTGGGGAATAGCGTACAAATGGTTTTTGTATTATTTCTTCAAATTCCATTTAGCATTAATGTACAACAATTAAAATTAATGTACCTTATATGTTGGTTAGGAATATAACAATTTTGATTAAACTCGGTTTATTATTGTATAATTAAATGATCTTTAATATCAATCAGGTAATATCCCCATTAATGTCACTTTAGAGGTCTTAAATTTAAATGCCCAATGTCTTCCTCTAAAGTACCTTTAATATGGTTTATTTTAAATAATCAACTACCTCTTACTATTAAAAGTTATGAAAAAATGATAAATCTAACTTTTGAAAGAATTTGATGATTGAATAAAGAAGAAAAAAATAAAAATGCTTATCCAGGTTGAAAACGAATCTCCGGAAATACTATACTTACTATACTGCTCTATAGTATACTATACTATACTTTAATGTTGATCACATGTTTTCAAGAAAATTAAATGCAAACTTTTAAAAAATTTTTAAGTGTAAAAAAAAGTATTTAAAATCCACCTAATCAAGGCAATGTCATGTTTAAAAAACTGTTTCAATGTGTTTGTGTGAAAGAAGTGAAATATAAAATCATTTCATGGATGTATAAAGTATATGTTTATAACTTTAAATACATTTACTGTCGTTTAATAATTCTAGATCTGATATTATATTTAAATAATTAGGTATCAATGTCCACCTATTCCGAAAAATCATCATTTAACTTTTTTGAAAATTAAATTAGTGAATAATTTGATAAATTTTCCTTTTTTGATATTCCAACAGTATCCACTTAAATTAGTGTGACAACTTTTGACATGTATATGACAGACAATGTAAATTTCATAATTTCGTTTTAGTAAACTTTGCAATGGAAAATAACAGTTTAATAACTACACTTCAATATAACTTTTGAAAAAAATTGATAATTGAATATGGGAGAAAAAAAGAAAAATACTTATCCAGGCTGGAAATGAATTTTCGGAAATAGTAGTCAGAAGGTATATGTATATTATATAATTGGAAAACGGGAATTAAAAAAACAAAAAAATATCTAATATAGAAAATTTTATAAGGTAACAGGGAGTAAAAAAAATATATATATAAATAATAATTACTATAAACTAACATTATTTAATGTAAATCACGTCATCTTAAGGTTTCAACATTTTTTTTTAGTTTGAAGAAGTATTTAAAATCTCTGAATTCAAGGCAATGACAGTATTTAAGATACTAGTTCATTGTACTTGTATGAAAGAAGAAGTGAAATATAAATATATTTCATGGATAATTTTTATAATCATAAATATATTTACTGTAGTTTAATAACTCTAGATCTGATATTGTATTCAAATAATAAGGTATCTATCATCCGTTTATTCCAAAAAATCATCATGTAACCTTTTTTAGAAAATTTAATTAGTGAATAATTTGATGAATTTTCCCTTTGTGATATTCCAACAGTATCCACTTCTAATTAGTGACAACTTTTGACCTTTCTATGACAGACGATGTAAATCTCTTAATTCTATTTTAGTAAACTTTGCAATGGAGAATAACAGTTTAATAACTAATAGTCTTTCAATCAATATTCAATGGATCCGTACAATCCGTAATCAATGGACCGTACAACCCATAATCAACCAACCGGTGATATAATGAATAGGACTTATGTTATTTTAATGGTATTTATGATTTGTTAACTGTAAGCTTTTAGCTTTAGCTCGGTTAAAAATGCAATTCAAAAATTTTATAACAGCAGTAAGTGAAAGTTGTGTTTTACATACACCAGATTTTTTTTCTGTTAGTATAGTCATGGGTTTGAACAGTTTGTTATTAACATAAAAATTTATTTTTAGCAGAGAGATGTAAAAAACTAAGGCTTTACCTGGTCTGAAAGTTGATTATGGAATTTTTAAGAAGCTTTAGAGGATAATGTTGGGTAAGAAAGGAGCGAGATGTTGACCAAGATTAGAGTTTCTGTTTGGGGAGAGAAAAACAAGACATATCTTAATATAATTGAGATATAAGAAAGGATTATAATTTTACAGTTCTTTGCTTTTAAATATATTTAATTTTCCTTATTTTACAGAGAGGATGGTGGAGGAAAAGGCGGCAGTGGTTGTGAAATGGATGAACCTTGGATAATGACTGTTAAGAGTCCCCATGGATTAAAGGGATTACAAACTGCGGTCGAAGAGCAACCGCGCTTGCCACCTGTTACCAGGCATCCATCTCACAATGGTCATTATCACAAGGAAAAACATGTAAGTCCTAATGTACCTTAAATGGATAAAATATTGAAACATTTTACTTTATAATTTAATGTTTGTATGAAATTATTGAAGTATGTATTCAGATTTCTTTAGCCTATTTATCATGGGTATATTTATCTTGAAAACCTCTGATTTATACAATATAAGATCTTTTGTTTTACACTTTTTGTGGTTCTCTTAAAGTAAATCCTTAGAAATGTGTTTAGCATCTGTTAAAAAGAGGTTTCTTGAATCTATATTAAGAGATATATTGAATTTATGGTTTATTGCTTAAAATATATTTATATTTTGTTAAGGAGAATCGTGTAAGTGAAAGCAGTCAGAAAAGTCCTGAGAAAACACCTTCCATGAAGGAAGTAAAGCAGCAGCAGCCATTGCAACCGGTTAAGCAAGAAATAAAATCTCCCACTCTTAGTCTCCTTATACACCCACTACTTGGAGAGGTGAATTTTTTAAACATAATTTGTATAACTTTTTTGGGTTGCCTTTCATAACTATAAGTGTTATTATTGCTTTAGACTGCTCAGCTCCATAATATTTGTAATCATTTAAAATCTTATTTGTCAACAGTTTATAGAAATTGAGATAATAAGTCCTTAAATACAAATATGATTTACAATTTTAATTTTATTTGACAAAGGCTGGAATATTCTTTTTAAGTTTTTGTTTAATTAATTAACTTGATAGTTATGATTTGATTGAATTACAGTTTTGATGCAAGCAACAATTAAGTTACTTTTGATTAGTTATTTCTTCAAAAATATATGTTATTTATTTTTATTTGTCTTTTCGGCCAATTTTTCCCTAATTTCTTGGTTACTTTAATATGATCCCCTCACAAGCAATTCTTTCAAGGGCATGAACCAAAAATAGTCTTTTGGAAAGGAAGACAGTCTTATAGGAAACAAGTCTGGACTATAAGGAATGGTGTCTGAGGATCATCCCAGACCCATTTCTTCCAATTTATCATCAATCAAAATCTCTTTATGAGATCTGAGAAAAATGATATATCTGATAGACATATCTTGTATTTAATTTCTTCAAGCAGTTTTTGCTGAACTTAACAACTGCCCTATATATCATTCACTGTTTGTTATAATTGTGATGAAATAAGTAAGTAAAATTCCCTTTGAGTGAAAAAAATTGTTACATGAACTTTTCTGGCTGAGAAAAATTCTTATTTTCACTGGGTAGCCTTTGTCTTTCTTTTTTCACCCCTTACTTTATACCCTTACAGAAATGTAATGGTGTGCTTATGTTTCTACCAAGATTATGCATCTAGATGGCCCACCTCTCAAAAATAAAATTTCAATGCCTCGATCCATTATCTTCTTCAGAACTTAGTGCTAAGCAAAACTATAAAATTGCCCTTTTTTAGATTCACTTTCATAGTAACATTGATGCTAGGCAGTAATAGATTCTAACCTAATATCATAAAATTGATAACTGTTATTGCTTGCTTATGGTTTTTGTTAAGTTTTATTTTTGCATTATTTGGTATTATAGTTATGACTTATCTGAATTTCTCATTTTACCCTTTTATTTCAGCTAAAAAGGAATCATTATCGAGAAGATAGTGGTGAGAAATGTGAAATTGATGAACTTACAAAGGCGTTCGAAGTGGCAGAAAGGTCCAGTCCTGGTATATCTCGTCTGTTTGTTAGGCAGCTCATTGTACGGCTACTCCCGTCTGCTGAGACAACTACCCTTATGGCTAATTTACTCAGGTAAAATTGAAATAATAGAGAACACATCTCAAAGCTCATTTAAATTACCTAAAATTATTTTTACTGCTTCAGTATTGATACTTTTTTAGAATTCAAAAATTTTAAATTCAAACTTTAAATAAAAATAAGTTAAAGTACTGTTCCCATTGGTTAGGAGGTGTAAAGTTTTTTTTTTATTTCACAACACCTCTCCACTAATATATCTATATTTCTCTTCCTCTTATGTAAAATTGGAGTTATAGTACAAAAAAAAATATATAAAAAAATAAGGTGCTTTCATATTACTCTATTGCATCTGTATGATACAGTGGAGTCGTGTTTTAACTGAAGTCAATAAATTCTGCTAAAATAGTTTCTCTATATAATTATGACCTTTATCTTACACTTTTGTTTTTTTAGTGTTAAGCAGTTCGGAAAATGCATTGAAATAGATAAAAGATATGAGTTTTTCATGCATGTGTGAATTTTTTTAATTGTCTAATAATCACTATTTCCTATCCCAGAAATGGAGCCTATAATTTTGTGGTTTGCTGTCAGTAAAGTTTAAGCCCTACATTAAGGACTTTAATAAACACACACATCTATTATATTTATTTTTAATTTTGTAATTAAATATTTTTATAAGATAATTCAAAAAATGAAATAAATTTATTTATTCTTTTGTATTTTACTTTTGTAGGGATTCATCATAGTTGGAACCCAGGGGAGATGAGTAATTGAAAGTGTCTACATCCTGTAGATAGAAATTATATCAAGTGATCATATAATAGTGGCCAGCTTGATATTGCGTTTGAGTAGTAGTGATGACTTTAGACGTATGGTGTAAATAGTAATAGAGGTGTCCTTCTTCAGAAGGTTCTCTCTGCTCACAACCCTTATTTATTTAAATAAATATATGATGTAATTTTTAAATAAGTTCTCATTGTACTAAAGAGACAATACTTGTGTAAGTAATAATAGACAAAATGTAAAACACCCGCTGGAACATTATTTGTTACTTTTATTGTTTCAATTTTGATATATCGATTTTGTTCTTCGACCATTTTAAATACTAAAACTGTAAAATATGTTTCTATTTATAAATATTTTAGATCATCCCAAATCAAGAAACCTTTTTTCTTCAGCATATATAAATATATATTATATAAAATAAAAAGTATATATCTTTTTATAAGAATGTAAGTATCAATATTTAGTATATTTGTAAATAAAGGTAATATAGATATATAAAGTTTATATTACAGGAGAATACTTACGGCCTTACTCGTTGAACAGTTGTGAGTCTGGATATTTTTAAAGTTGAATGGAGTAACATTGACTACCAACTAAGTAGATCATTATAGCAGAGTTGTAAATTTTAATTTTAGCCATAGTTATTACTATACTAATAGTCATTAGAAAGGGATTTAGGTTAGTTAACAGAAGTAGGAGGAAAAACAATGGTTACGATATGTAACTATGAAATATTTTATGTGATAAATTTTAGAAAGATGATGCAATAAAAAATTAGCATTAGTTCAAGTGAACGGAGACAGTAGTGGTAAAGTGATCCCTTTTTGTTTAATGCTTCGTACCATGTATTTTTACACCTCATGTGATTGGTCTATTTTTAATTATAAATTTTTAAATGTACATTAATAGGTAGGTAGGTTATTTTTTTCTCTAAATTTTAATGTTATCGACAATATAATTAGTATTAACTCAAAACTTATTTATGTATAAAATCATTTGTAAATTAATGTTTGTAATTAGATTCCTATTATCTCCTCTTGTAAATTATATATTTACATTGAATATTTTTTAATTAATTAAATCTACTCGCTTAAAAGTCAGCAAAATTATTAACTCTATAGGTGTATTTGGCATTGTTCCTGTAGTAACCACAAAATATATAATATATATGTATTTCTATCTTACTCTTATCATACACTGTTATAGATATGTTTACCTATTGCACTGTGAAACATATGCTATTTAAAAAAAAGATATCTTTTTATTATAATTATGATTGTGATGGTATTGATTTGTGATGGGAAAAAACAAAACAAATTCTGATACCACAAACCTCCTACTTCTTAAAATTTTAATTTTTTTGTGACTTTTTTTATTATTAAAAAAAAAACTGTTCATCAAGTCTGCATTCAAACTGTCCACCTTTTGGCCTGAAATGTGTTTTGAAAAAGTGTATTTTTTTAGAATTGCTGTACATAAATAATTATTTAAAAATATATAGCTACGGAAATATATATATTATTGAAAGAAGTATATTTACCTATATGTTTGGGTTCGGTGGTTTGTTAAAGTTAAGAATCGGTGTACAAGACATGTTTCTTTGTGTATATAATTATATATAAAATAAATATAAATTCGTGTGAGGCTAAGAAACGAATCCAACTGGTGTTTATATTGTTGTTGTTTGTAAATTGAGAAAAGAGACATTATTTTTGTGTTGATAGAGTCCAGAGTTTTATTTACAGAAGTTGTAGGTCAGGGTGAATGAAAAAGTAAGTACAAATAATTCTACATTCACATAAAATTATTTTAAAAAGAGAGAAGAAAGAAAAGTTAAAATTGTTTCAATCAATTGCAGTATCACATAAAGTAAAAAAAAGTTTATACAACTTAATCAACCTGTGAGTGAATATATATTTATTACAATACCACTATGTTTGTATAAGGTTATGTGACCAGTATTAAATGACAATATATAACTGGTTCATTACAATTAAAATAAGTGCCAACGAATCAATTTTATTGATTTTGACACTTAACTGTTTCATGAGTTTTAAGGTTTTTCATTTTCTTTGCTGAATTTCTTGTTTGTCAAATTTGGTGACATGATACACCACCGTTATATATTGTTCAAAATCAAAGTATATTTTGAAGAAAATAATAAAATATTCTATAAAATGTACAAAATTCTACAAATAAACCATAATAAATTTGTTTTATTTTAACATTAAGCCTTTCTACTGATAATCCTTCCATCCTTGCTCTCTTCACTTTGCTATAACATTGGCGAAATAGAACAGAAAACTGCTGGAAGGTATATTAAATAACAAAATACATTTTTTTCTCCCTAAAAATGTATGTATATTAACTAAAAAATTCAAACAATATCAAATTATTGTTATGATAATTGCTATTGAATTATATTTTTAAAAAATTTCTCAGAAAGAATGATATATTCCCAACCTGGAGAACATCCTCTTCCCTTAGCTCTTACATTTATTTTATTTTTCTCCCTACCTGGGCATTTGTGACATGGGAAAGGAGAGATTATCCAACAGATAACCAACTTAGTCTGACCATTCTGGAAATATATTTCAAACAGAGATTAGCATTGGGGTGTGACAGAGATTTTCCCTCACAGCTTCGGGAAAAAGACTGTGGCAATTCACAGTGATTTGTCACTAAGGGGGTTATTTCCTGGTGATAAGTATACAATGGCTCATTGGCGAAAGCGTCACTGTAATATCACAGTTTACGTATTGAAACTTATATTAAAATAAAAAATCTGGTGCACGCAACAAACAACTTACACTTACCGATCTAGGGGGAGAATCACTTTATTATCATAAAATAAAATGCTGCTGCCCAATTACATTGGGTTGCTAACAACACAGCATACTTATTAATCACTACAGACAATATTTAAAATTATTATACAATTATATAGGATTAACAATATGTATGAGCATAGTATACAATATTTTATACATATATATTATTATTTTTTTTCCTTTTTATTTTTAATATTTCTTTCATTCATTTATTATCATTCTGCATCCCTTCTCTCCCCATATACATGTTACCACTCCTCATATTCTCTCCTCTCTCTAACCCAATACATAAAGTGCACTGGATGCGTTCAATAAATAACAATATAAAAATGCTGTAACACACGCGTGCCTCCCCCCTATGAATAAACTCTCTCCCTATCCGCTCCCATGCACATGGTGGTGGAGATTCCCAGGGAGTTGAGGATTTATTTATTTATTGAATAGAAATTATTTTCTGGCAATGCTGGGCTATTATAAAATTGCCTGAAGTGCATTTTAAAAGGAGCTAAAGCTTACAGATAACAAGTCATTAAGACCATCATAATTACAAAAAGGCCAATTTAATATATCGACGACAGGCAATAAAAATCTATTCACTCACTCTATCTGCTTTTATAAACCACACAACTTTCTTTGCTTTTATAAATCACAGAATGACTAACTCCAATTTCCACATTTTTGAGTGATTTCATTTTAGTGATATTTTTAGTTAAAACGTTATCCATGCAGACAATGAGTAAGTTGATTCCAGAGGTGGTGATTGCAGTGTTGAAATATAGAACTGAGAATAAAGTATAAATTTAGGTACTACTTTCTTATGAAAGATGTTCTGAGGTAAGACACTTTATTAAATATCTGTAGAAAAAAGATTTTTTTAGTCTCAACAATTAAAAAGATATATTTTAAATTTATCCAAATTTTCACCTCTTCAGTGAAAAAAACTAGCGTGAAAAAAATTTTAACGATTTTTTTTTTTTTTTTAGGAAATTCAATAAATTTTTAAACAACCTTTTACAATACGGACAAAAAAGCGTATACTTTTTGAGTTATTCGGAATTTAATTTTAACATCCCTTTTAACTTTTTTTCCAGCTTCTTTTCGTTAAAGTATGTTATGTAGATAAATTTAAAGGGTATCCAGAAAATGACTTTAGCGAAGTTTCATTGAAATCGGTACATCCATTTAGGCGTTACAGTCTGTAGGAACGCAGATTTTTCGGCATTTTTATTTTTTTTTCCTTTATTAATTTATCGAATTCTTTCAAAAGTTAAATGTAGCATTTTTTCGTAACTTTGAATAATGCGAAATGGTTAAATTTAAAAAATAGACCATATCAAAGGTACTTTAGAGGAAGATATATACGAACATTGGTTATTTAAGAACTGTAAAGTGACATCAACGGGGATAAGACCTAATTGATATTAAAGACCACTTAATTATATAATGATACACCGAGTTTGATCAAAATCGTTAGAGTCGTTTTTGAGAAAATTGTAAAAATGTGTTTCAGCGGTTCATATAAAGTGGCACTTCCGGTTAGCCGATTTTAACGAATAAGTTGCTGTCACATCCGGCCCATATACAAACCTTAAATACTTAATATCAGTTTCGTACTACTTTTCGTTTATGAGCTAGACTGTTAACAGGCACACTCAGACCATTTTGTGACACTTGGTTATTTAAACTAAGGGGACCTCAAAACACGTATTTCCGTTGAAAACTGAGATTCCAAAATTTTCACGATCACAATACTTACCCTTATTATATATTACATATATACGTAAGTGAAAGTAATTAGAAAATATTATGTATATTATTATTTTATTTTTTTTAAGTCATGGAATGTGGTGTTGAGAACGGGTAGAACGAGGATTAAATATGACCTCTTGTATATTATATATATTATAATTATGTAATATCTTTAAACAATATTTTTGTTCCATTCATTATTATCATCATCATGAGAAGTTATCATCATAGTTCGCTTTGGTCTAACCCTTGGACGCTTGCCAGTCGGTACAGCGTATATTATTTTTTTTTAGGAATTCTTTCGTTACAAAGCCCAGCGATTTTACATGCCCATTTTATTCGCCTCAACTTAATCACCTCAATTATATTAACCGAATTCAGTTCACTCAATTCAGCGTTATATAACCGCCTGAATTCTCCGGTTGACCCGTCCTTTTTCGGTCCGAATATTCTGCGTAATACTTTATTTTCAAAAACTTTAATTAAGACGTTGCTCATCCCTTGATGTAAGTGACCACGTTTTGCATCCATAAAGAACCGTAGGAAGGATAATGGTTTTGTAAATTCTAACTTTTTTTGAGTTTCGGAACAGGAGGCGAGAACTAAGTAATTTTGACAAAGAAAAATAACAAGCATTTCCGGCCTTCAGCCTAACCTTAATATCCTCTTCAATTTTGTTTTTTCTGGTTATCGTAGACCCTAGATACCTAAAATTCTGTACGTGTTCAAACACATTCCCTTCTATATCGATACCACCGAAATTGTCGCTGTTTTTGCAGCTAACCAAATAATTTGTCTTATCCGTATTTAGCTTGAGGGAGTGATCCGTAGGTAGTGATAAATATATAAAAGAGTGATAGCAGAACTCCAAAAAAGTTTAGGAAATTAAGCAGGAAAGTAGGAAATTAAGTCTTGTGACTTTTTAAGTAAGTCACTTTTTTTGGTGAATAGGAAGGTAACTAAAAAACTATTTAATTTAAGTAATTAACGATTACTTCACTGTAAACTAGATACAATTTACTTTGAATAAAAAATAGTTTGCTTCTGTTAAAACCATTTAAACAGGAGCAGCGAAACTCTAAGCGCTAAGGAGTGGGGAGAGATGAGTTGTGGTGGGGGAACTGGTAGGAGTGGGAGACGGTGCGGCCCTCCCCTCCCCCCCCAGAAAAAATTGCTGGATCCGCAATATATGTTGTACACAATGTATGTATGTAAATGGATTGTCTGACAATGTATGTTTATCAAAGCGATTTTATACCAACGCTTCTGGAATATCGCCACCGAAATCCTATCGCTAAAGAATTTTACATCTCCAAGCGGATAGAAATCTATTCCTAATAAGAAAACAGGAACCTTAACAATGATTTCCGCTTTCTCCATACCAAAAAAGTGTACTTACATTTTCTTATAGACGCTCCCCTGGCCAACGAACCTATTACAATGCCACGATATATAAATTGTACCCATTAACCTCATTTGGGACAGATTTAAACGCCGCTGTATTCAAACTCCTTACGTTCCACGTCGCTATACTTAAATCTCTAGTTTTCAACTTGCGCCATGAATCCCCTAAAGCAGTCTCCACCCGGAGACCCGAACGGGCGACTAGTTTGCTTTCAGATAATGAAAGTTTTACTTTATGAGGATCCATGACTGTGGTATTTTGTGAACATATCGTTAATCCCGGTAAACAAAGGTCTCCACTTTCTGGAAGTTACCAATGTCCAGAAATGCAGCATGGCTTCCACCACCAACGCGAGCCGGTGAGTCACTTTTGTGATATATAACATCAAAAATCGCCGAAAACGACTTTTAAGCGTTTCTGAAAATTCATAGTTAAAAAAGGACAAGGTTTTTAAGATTGAAATTTCATCAGCAAGAAGTACAGTGGTAGGACAAAATATGAAGAAAAAATTAGAGACTTTTCTTTATTACACTATTGAAGCCCTAAAAGTCACTTTTTTTGTATGTCTATTTTCATGATTTTTGTAAATCACTTTCCTTTCTTTTTAGGTAATGTATTTATCAACAACAATGTAGAAAAAATACTCTAAATTATTTCAGTTTTTATTTTGGCTTGATATCTGCAAAGTAACCCAGAGTTACAGGTATTTTCCCAAAACATGTTTTCAGTCAAAATGAAAATTAAAAATGGCCGTCGAGAAAATACTGTGAGCCTCAAAAATTTTTTAACTACTGTTGTGACCTCTCAAATAACTGGTAAAAAAATGATAAATGGTCTGATAAATATCAATGATAAATATCATTGATATCAATATCAAATATCAATGATAAATATCTACTATTAAATACAGAAATGCTTTGCACAACAAATAAAAAATTATATTATTATAATCATTTTTGAACCAATATACATTTAATCAATAAACAAACATGAACTCCAAATACAGATTAAATAAATAAGGAAATTCAATAAACTGATTGTAAGATTTTATTTTTAAAAAATCAACTGACATATATAATTCAGCTCATTGCCATACAAATCTAAGTATTCATACAGAATAAAATATACATTCTAAAAATGTCACCTATTATACAGAGAATAGTGTTACTATTCTTAACAAAGTGTTCTAATACCTTTGGAAATATTTGTTTATTTATTCTATTACCGTTTATCTGAATAAATATATAAATAAATGAAAAATATTTGTGACTCAACCACTCTCAATCTTCATTCATAGTTATGACTATTTTTCTAGAACTGAAACTTAAAACTTAGCCATATTTCACTACTTTATTTTATGTAATACAAATGAATAAACAAACATTTACTTTTAGCATTTATAAATATTTACAATATCTTATATTCATAAAAAAAATTACATATTTTTTAAAGATCAAACAATTTAAACTCAAATAAATTATGAAAAGGCAGGTGAGGTCATCTCAAAACTGCATAGACTAAACGATACAACAGGTTACCGAAAACTGATATTTTTTAATTTATGAACACCTTTTTAAAAACAATCCACCTCTTACAGAACATTACAGAATCGTGAATACATAACTGAATTATGTATAAACATTATCACTAATAATTTAGCAAAACGCAGTCATTAATTATGCAGTATATTTAATTTTTAATGATGGACAAGATTTCAGTTGACTTTGTAACCTTTAATTTCACTAACAAATATTACTCAAGTTATTAATTTACTCGTATTTATTTACGAAAGAATTGTAAATTACGAGAAACAAAAGAATATATATATTGTTAAAAGCATAGTTAAAGCATAAAAAGAATCACAGAAATTAAGAAGAGACTGCGAGGAACCTGATATAGTTTCTTGTCTTAAAAAAGGGACAATAAGATTGCTGCACTATTTGATGAACAAAAAAAAAACAAAAACTCTTAAGGCAAATAATGGAAGGACGTTCTGATAGAGAAAGAGGGAGGATACTAGAGATGGTATGTATATTCGTTTCTCTTAACTCAACTTGAAAGTTTCTTCAAAAAGGATTACTTTTACGAAACTCAACGAACCCCTTTCAACCGATTTGATAGCAGAGATGCTTCTGTAAAACAATAATGCTATTGAAAAATGAAACAGCTCCTTTACTTACTAGATGTTCAATCGATACTTTAACGAATATATATATATACTTTATGAAAACACATATCCAATGAACATTTAAATCTCAGAAGATTTCCTTATTATTTAAGGTACCTACAGTAGCAGCAGAAAAGGTAACTGAAACAAAACGTAAAGAAGATAACTATATATTTTTCTAATAATAAATTGAGTATAAAATTCCCACCCATCACCTGATTTCCTAAATGCGATGCCCCGACATCTTGGTGCACTGAACGGCAGCCTACTGTAGCACTTTAAACAACGGAGGACGAATATATGGCTATGTCTTCAGCAGCACAGGAAGCTTTATGGGTAAGCGGTCTCTCTGAAGAGATTGAGCGACAACCAGGAAGCAAGAAATCTGGCATTAAATGGTGCTTATCAACCAAGGATCAAGCACATCGACGTACGACACCATTTTTTGAGAGAGAAAGTGCAGGCGAAGCTTGTCTCCTTCACGTACATGCCCACCAAGAAGATGGTCGCCGAATCTTAGACTAAGGCGCTTGATTTTGACTAGTTCAGCGAATGTATGAAGTGCCAAGGAATCCGCAAATAGGGAGGGTGTTGGACAATTTATTTGTGGATCTGTAGCAACACAGTCTCGACCACGTTTATGTGTGTAGCCGTATACATTGTTATTCGGGCCATTGTTCCATTTCGTTGTACCGTACTTATGTCGCGCCTGATTGTACATAATATGTGAAAGTTGTGTTCCATAAATATAGTCATAAATCCATGATTTGTTTCATCTTTTGCCCTAATCTATAGAATCATAGATTCAACAGACGCAAAGTGCTCCTTGGCCAACAAAAAGGCAGGTGTAGCGAGGATATCATTTCACTCCCCCCCCCCCCTAAAATTTGAAGAAATTTTTTTTTTAAGTAGAAAGAAAACAAAAACAAATAATCTATACGAAGGAATAAACTCTAGGAATAAACTATGTAAATTAATTCTAATGGAGATGATGGGGAAAAGTCGACTAATTGGCTTCGATATGGCCCAGAAGTAAGAATAAATTTCAAGTAGAATCGAATTCTGTAAGTCTAGATCATTCCGTCTTTCGAGAAAAAAAATTCCAAGAAGCATAGGAATTGGAAGTGCTAACTAGCTGAGTGGGTACAAAGCTTAACTCAATTCTGATTTTTATGAAGGATTTTAGATTTCCGTGATTCAGTGTTATTTTGTTTCAATCCTTTGCGGTCGTATGACGAACTGGCACGGCATAAACAAGTTATTCATTCCATTTGGGAGTGTCTATTCATCGCCAGTCATATTTAACGTTAAAAGTCCAATGCCGGATTATCACCAGCATCTATTTTCTGTCCCTCTAGTCCTTTGCCGAACCCACCAACGCATATTTTGAATATAGAGCGCTATTCTAGACGATCATTTTGTTTCCATATAGTAGCATCAACACCCGATAGATGCTCTGTAAATATTCTGTGAACTACAGAACTCCAAGACTGCTTAGTTTGTTGTTATTTCTTGAACCTTGAAATTTTTTGGTGTCAGTTTTAACATTTTTGACGTAAGTTTTGATAATTTTTGGAGTTTTAAGTATTTATAAGTGTATTTTTTAATGGTTGACGAAGAAATTTTAAAAATTTTGCGAGAATTAGACGAGGAAGAAAAGTGTCACAAAAGTAAAAAAGAAAACTTTGGGGGCGAACATTTTGATGATGAAGAAAGTGATACATATTTTTTTGATTCAGAAACCGAATCGGCTGATGAAACAGATGAATTAGATAAAGAGTGTCTATTCATCGCCCCATAAATCCTTAGGACCACCCTTACCGTCACAGCTGAAGTCAGCACTCCAAAACTTGTAGATATATCAGCCCTTCGGAGCATATGGCACCAGTTAGCAGAGAGACACCCCACCGGTTAACAGTGACACCCTCCGGCCAGTACACATACCTAGACCAACCGACTCCGACGTGACTTATAGTAACATTATAGTGTCTCTATTTAATAACCTAGTGCATTTAAGAACGAATATTGTAAATTGTAATCTTTCATACCAATAAAGTTTTTTTTGGGATTAGTGACGCGAGAATATTTATTTGGCGCCCGCGAACAGGTACTTGTCAGCTAAAGGTAGCAAGTGAGACGAAATTTTGAAGACCTTCAAGAAGCTTTGACGAAATATCCCAACAGAAGCTGGAACTTCTTCGAGACATCACTGAACGGACTCCTATGAAGATTCGATGAAATATTAACAGAATCTGGGGTAATCCACCTTTAACCTGTGTTTCAACACTTCAGGCAAGCGAAAAACAAATTTAATAGATTTCTCCATAAAGACAATCCCCATAAAAGACTTGAGGTATTTAAATATATTTTGTAATTAGATTTAAAATTTTATTTTATTTTATTATAATTCATGTATGTCTAAATTAAGAAATAACATAGATACATTAACGAAAAGCTTAGATACATTATTAATTAACAATACAAGTACACAAAGAGTAACTAGATCAAATACTAAAAAACAAATTAATAACATGACTAACTATCAAATGACCAAAGAAGACTACGGTCACCTTCAATATTTTGATGGTAATCCATCTGATTTATGTTTTTTTGTTGAAAAAATAAAAGAAATATATAATAATGTTTGTGCCAATGACAACACGTTAAAATATAACAATCACGCTAGGTTATTAACTATCGTAAAATCGAAGCTAACTGGGAACGCTAGGCACATTTTACAAACTAGGACATTTTTAAGTATAAGCGAATTAATAGAAACATTAAGTCACTAATTTAGGAATACAAAGACTGTACAAAATTTAGAGGTTGATTTACTAAATACAATACCACATCATCGCGAACACCCGTTTGATTTTATATACCGAATAGCCGCAATTAGAGCCTTATTATTCACTAGAATTAACATTGATGATGATATTACTAATAAAAAATCCCTTATGGATGATGAAGACAAAAGAATCATGAAGAATCATGAAGACAAAAGAAAATCATCACATTATTAGACATTTACATCCAGACCTTAGTAATTACTTAATAACACAAAATCTTGACGATTTAGACGACATTCGCGCCGCAATTGAAAACAATTGCTGTATTATGATGGACAGACTTTACTCACAAAAAACTCCATTTGAAAATAGAAATTATAGGTCAGACAAAAGACCACAATACTATACTAACCAACATAAACAAAATAATTATTCGCCGAGAACTCAATATCAATCAAAACCAAATTATCAAAATTACCAACCCCGACCAAATTATCAAAACCAACAAAGACCACATTACCAAAACCAAAACAAACCTTATTATCAAAATCACTATAATGAACGTCCCAATTATCAACAAAAACCTAATTGGAATCAGAATTATACAAACAATCCACAACATTCTAATTCTCCACAAAAACCTTATAATCCTAACTCACAAAACACAGTGACAATGCGAACAGTAAAACCGAATCAGCAACCACGGTTAATCAAATTGAGACCGTGAGCAAAGACGATCAAATTACTGAACTTAGGAACCAACTCAAAACATTAAATGATACTTTCAATAATTTTTTAGAACCAGGGAGGCCAGTAATATATTATATTAATAAGTATATGGCCAGAAAAAAACCCGAATATTCCTTAAACCTTATAGAAAACTTAACTACATTTATTGATTTACAAAACGAAGAATGGCTAATTGACTCGGGACCAGTAAAAAATTAGGTAATTATTTACGAACGGTGCTCCACTCGCCATCTTGGTTGAACTGGTATTATGTCCCGTGTTCTGATAACGTTTACGAAATCTAGCACCAGAAAGCGCCACTATTGCGGAGGGGTTGTCTTGTCCCCTCCACCTTACGTTCATTACAAATAATTACCAATTGTAACCTTTACAATATATAGTGCCCACCATTTTTTTTAACTTGTCGATTTCTTTGTATCTTCAATATATCGATTAACCAAACTTTATATTTCAGATGTTATTATTTACACATATTACCTACATCAATTTTTTTTTCCATTATATATTACTAATATTATTTATAATTGTAGTGTTTATATATTGCCCGTTTTTGTTTTTTTAAGCTTCGAGATTCAGCATTATTAATGCTTTTCGCTTTCCTTATCATAAATGAAAGAAGTTTATTAACTTAGGTTTTGTTTTAATTGTGACACTTTATCTCTAATTGTACATTATCTAAGTATGTCCAATATTAATACAATTCAGGAAGAATTAAACAATTTTCTATAAGGGTTTTGATGCTGGATAAGGGTTATACTTATCAATTATATGTTACTTAAATCTTCTAGCAAGAAGAATTAAACAATTTTCTATAATGCTTTTGATGCTGGATAAGGGTTATATTTTTCAATTATATGTTACTTAAATCTTCTAGCAATAAAACACATTTTCAGTCTACTCAGGTACATACTGGCAATACCAGATGACCAGTTATCCCTAGCCATTTCCATTGCTGTCTACTTACATTATCTATATCTACTTTTATATTGTATTGTCTCATTAATTTTTCTAAATCCTGTCAGAATGATTTATTAGGCAAGAAAGTGTAAGTTATCTTCATCATGTGTATTCCGCCAGACGTAACTCATTACCTTCTTCTTCATAAAATGTAAAATGTCCCTTAGTTATATAAATGAAGTATAGAACTATGAAAGATTTAGGTTTTACTTCATCTCATGTTTTGGTTCCAGCCTCAAACTTTCCAGACATTGTTTAATGAGTTTATTAATTTCTTCCTAAGGTTTCCCTATATGTATTTCAAGACTGTAAATAATTTAACTATCGAGAATGACTTATTGTCCAAATAAGGATAAATTACCACCAGTAATGATCAAATTGACCAAGGAAAAGTAACCTAGAATACCTTATTCTTTTGTGCAAACAAATATATTTATTTTATACGGATAGTTATTCGTGAATAAAAATTTCAATTAAAAATATCTAATTAACACACAAGACACTTCCTTTGGAAGAAAAAAATTGAAATGCACTTTATAAATAAGTACAACATAATTTACTAAGAACCAATATTTTTTAAATTCAACTATTTTATATTAAATTAAGATTCCAATAAATATAAAGATTTGTCGCTAATTTCGTGGTAGAGTGATTATAAGTTATTATCGGTCTATAAACTAGCGATTATACGAAACTCGTGTCCTATGACTGAAATAACTCTAGCCTTAAACTAAGGATGATCCTGCATTTAAAATTAAATGTCCTTATATTCCAACAAATCTTTATTAAAATGTAATTGACATTTAAACTAAACTGCCCTGATTTCTTCATTTCGGTTTTTAAGAAACCCGCCATCCCCTCCCGCTTCCCGTCGGAATTAGTCTCCGGTAACAGGCTACTGTCCTATGACTGAAATTACTCTAGCCTTAAACTAGCCATTACCCTACACTTAAAATTAAATGTCCGTATATTCTAACAAGTTTTTACAAAAATTTAATTAACGTTTAAACTAAACTGCCATTATTTCTT